CTTGTTGCTATTCTTGGCAGGATTAGAGGCCATGAATTATTTCAAGATCATAAATAAGGTTTGCATATAGAAATCAAGATGTTTCAACCATCTTCACACAAGCGATTCTGAGCTTCTATGTACCAGAGTTTGATTCTCTGACCAATGCTTCTCTTCTAGTGTTTTTTTTTTTTAAGTGTTTTTCTTATGTTTTTTTTTTTTTTTTAAAGATTTATCTGTTTTATACAAGAACCGGGGTACAGGCCAGATGCGTGGGAGGGTGAGAGGATTCACCAGAGACAGAGCGGGAAGCAGAACAGGCAGACTGACGAAATACACTGCTGAGGGGAGAAGCGGGCGCGACAGGAGAGGTCTGCCGCGCCATGTGGGACCCTCGCTGGCCAGCCTGGATCCAACTGGCGCTGCAGAGGCTGCAGACAGCTTCACAGCACAGCGCTCAACTGCCTGCGCCACCAGTGGAAGCCCTCTTCTAGTGGTTTTATAATAGTAATGTTAAAAGATTTCTACAAATTTATAAACAAAATGCAAAACAAAACAAAAACCAAGGCCAAGCAGTCTTTTATTTGAAAATTGATAGGTAATAATAACATTAAGGCCCCATTTAAGAATTCATCTTACATAAAGACCATGGTTGTCATTACACACACACAGACACTCACACACGCACACACACAACTATCTTTTATACAAATTTTCTTTGAGATCAATTTCGAATATACATCTAGGTTATTATTCAGGTGGTTATTTTCTTAAATTCCAGAAGCCTCATGCTCACTTTTAAAGCTAAATTAATACTTGTACTCTGGTAGAGAATGTCACATTCATTGATAAAATTGTCTACTTATTCCCTTCAAAAACATGGGAAAATGAACTGCATCCTAATTTTCATTATCTTTATCTATAGACTTCTGCCTTCTTAGATCATGTTAATGATTTCACTTCATTACATTAAGTTTTGAGTTATTTATATCTAGTATAAAATCAGATTAATAAATCATCAAAAAAAAGTAATGGGACTCCAATAGTGGAGTCCCCTTTTAAAGGTTTCTATTTTCTCTCTAAATTAGGAAAAAAGACCACTTGTTAAATATGAAAGAAAAGAAGTGTGAGGTTTGAAGAGAAGGAGGAAAGTTGAAAAAAATTTTTTTAAAACAATAGGACAAGTTAACCCAGGAAATACAGTAGGATACCAGAACAGTATTGAGGGTTCATTTGAGACTGATTCACATTAAATTATAACAGTGAATCTGCCCTGTTAAAAAATATGATCCAGCAGTACTTAGCTATTAAGATGCAGGTACAGAGAAAGAGGTCCTTCCAGAGTTGGGATTTCATTGCATTTGCAGAACAAAAGAGTATATCTCAAATACAGCTAGTTTTTTTCCAAATAATTTATTTTTATTTATATCTTTTACATCATTGTGTATTCCCCATAAAATTCCCGCCACCAGTTCACCCGTGAACTATCACCACAGTCCCTTGTGCTCTTCTCTCCCGTTTCGATCCCTTTTCTTCCCTCTTTCTCACAGAATGTCTCTTATTTATGGTTGCCTGCTAGTTTTGTTATTATTATTGTTGTTATTTTTTCCTTCCCTTATATGTTTCCCCTATATTCCTCCTATAAGTGAAACCATTCGATATTTTCCTTTTTCCTTCTGACTTACTCCACTGAGCATGATCCCTTCTAACTTCATCCATGTTGCTGTGAATGGCATGAGTTTATCTTTTTTGATTACTGAATAATATTCCATTGTGTATGTATACCACATCTTCCTGATCCAGTCATCTATTTTTGGGCATTTGCGTTGTTTCCATAATTACCTATTGTAAACAGTGCTGCAATAAACACAGGGGTGCAGGTATCCTTTTGAATTAATGTTTTTGTGTCCTTTGGGTAGATTCCTAGGAATGGAATTGCTGGATCATATGATAGCTTCATTTTTAGTAGCTAGAGTTTTTTTTGTTTTTTTTTTTTAATGAACTATGAACTCTAAACAGGAGAAAGAAGATGAAAAAGGATACTATGACTAAAGTGATTGGGATAATAGCAAGTAAAGAAAATGATAGTTGTCATTATTACTAAGCATGGTCTTCCTGCCGTGATTTCATGAGTATAATCAGTATCATTTTTATTTATCTTGCTCTTTCACTAGATTGAGCTCTTTGAGGATAAGAAGAGTGTGTTTCTTCTCAAAGCCAGGCCCAGAAGCTACCATACTTTAAATAACTTATTAAGTCAATGAATCCTTATTAATTCAATGAATCCTGCTTTCAAGTTATCCATAAATTTTATATATATATATCTCCCCTCCCCCCCAGCTAGGGCATTGTAAAGGTGGGAAGGGCACATTGCAGGTTCTCTAAGATCCCATGCAGGCGGGTAAAGGAGGAGAGTCTTGGAGCCCTCTGGCTTTTTCAGTCTTTTATTGATTTTACCAATGTAGCTGCAGGAAGGGCCAGAGCAGGTTCTCTATGACTCAATGCAGACGGGTGAAGGAGAGTCCTTGAGCCCTCAGTGTCTTTTTCAGGCTTTCATTGGGTTTACCAGGTACACGGCAGGCAGGGGTACCAGGAGGCCAGGATGCCAGCAGGCCTCCCAGTACCCAGCAAATCTTCACTCTTTCTGGGCTCTCTGGTGTTCTCTCATGGCCTCTCTCATTCTCTCTGCTCGTTTCTTCCACCACTGCTACTCATGCTCTTTCACTTGTTCTCTCTGCTTCTCTTTCTCTCCTCTAGTCTGGTGTCCCCATAATGCTGCCCTTATAAGCCCAGTCTCAGCCCAGGTGTACCCACCTATGTACGCCCACATCCCACTCCAGGTGCCCATCATCAGGCATACATTTAAGACCACAGGGATCCATCATCAATCCTAATGGCGGGAAGGCAGAAAAGCCTGACAATCATTTACCCTACAGGCATTATAACCTTAATAATTCAGACAATGTAGACATTTTCAAGAAAAGTACTATGAGCCACTATCAATGCAATGATAGAAACTTGCTAAGTTTCTGTTACTAGCTAAGAGCAGACTGATGAATTTTCTAATACTGTAAAATGTAGAATTAGACTAAAGAAGAAAATGAATTGACACATAAAACATGAAAACTGAGAATATTTTCCTATTTTTTAAGGGTTCCTGCCTCTATTTTTTTTATCTTTTTAGTACCCTAAATGTTTTATGAAATGAGTAATCTGAAGCATCACCTACCCTATTCTTAACACATACATGAGTGAGGACTTCAAAGTAAATTCTTCAAGGACACATAATCTGAGATTTGTCCAGGCATATAAACTTCCTCTTTGTTTTTGGCAACTGGCATATCCCAAAATAATAATGCATTTTTCTTAGTTTCTTAGAGCTATGGAGTTTTAAGAGTTCGTTATATTTGTGGGTATAATTTTTAAAATAAAACTTTTTTTGTTACTGTTTAAGCTAATAAAATGTTTATTTTAGAGTATTCAAAGAGAAATTTGTAGTTAGAAGCTCTGATTTAACAGTAGACTACATAAGCAATCACAGCCTTAAGTGGAAGCAATGCTAAAAAACTTCTTTAATACATGGGTTGTTTGAAAGTACATATATTTCCCCAGAGAAAACATGTCATCATGGGACACCAAGTCTCCAGTTTGAAGCACTAAGTTATACCTAATAAGGTATTAAAATGGCTAAACCTCTAGGTCCAACATTTTATGGGAAAATGTTTCCATGAGTTCTTATCTGGAATGCCAAAACAATCCCTCATTGCTCTCACCACCTGTATTCTAACCAGTGGAAATCAGAACAGGATAGAAGACAGGTAAAGGGGATTTTAGATAGTAAAGAAAAACTTAAAGAACAGTAAGATACTTCTTAGTCCAGTTTGACTCTCCATCACTCCCATTTTTCCCAGGAAATGTCATGTCTCTACTCTCAAATAAAGTACATACACTTTCTGGACAGTTTATGTCTTTCCAAGAGACACTACAGAAAAAAGAACACCAGCTCTGGTTGCATCCACATTCTCAACACCTTTGGTTTGTAAAACAAGCAATTCAATGAAAACAATTTGTTTCATAATCATTAGACACTGAATCAGTTGAGAGGGATGGCTGAAAATATAAAAGAAAGAAAATGTAAGAGAAAGAAAGATGTTTGGTTCCCTGAGAAAACAGGACATCATGAGATACAATCCAAGGCAGTGTGTCTGCAAGCGGCAAGGGAAAATCTGGCAAGAAGTCAAGATTTTCTTTACCTCTATGCCTTTTACTTTAGCAAAAGTTAAAAAGATATATATTATCTATATGGGGAAAGGCCAAGGTGAATCCAATCTAACTACATTTCAGAGTAATCCCGGTAGAGACATTTCCATATAACTACTAGACATTTTCTCTCATTTGTCTCACAAATACCTCAAAATAAAATGTACAAGATTACCTATCAAGGGGCCTCCCTGGTGGTGCAAGGGGTTAAGCACCGCACTATGAAGCAATCTGCAGCCTCTGCAGCATGAGTTCGATCCCTAGCCAGTTAGGGAGAAACCCACATGTCTCGCCCGCTGCTCCCTTCAGCAGTGTATTTCAGTCGATCTGCTTGTTCTGTTCCCCACTCTGTCTCTGGTGAATCCTCTCACCCCCACATCTCTGGCCTGTGCCCCAGCTCTTGTATGTATAAATAAATAAAAAGAAACAAAATTAAAAAATAAAAGGGATGGTTTTCTTCATTTCTTCTTCTTCAGATTTATTGTTTGTATATAGGAAGGCTACTGATTTTTGTGTGTTGATTTTGTATCCTGCTACTTTCCTAAACTGATTGATTAGTTTTAAATGTCTTCTTATACTAAAAATCAATTCAGAATTACCTGAAACAAAGGACCCCAAACAATATCAAGTATATACCAATGAAATGTAAGGTAGCCTGGCTGCTCTTCTACAGACTTAATCTTATACATCCAATACTCAATTCCTGACATGCTTTTGTCTTTAAGGCAACAAAATTACTATAGATATTAAGAGTGTATTACCTTCATGATGTTAACTAAATCTGTTTGATAGTAGCGATCCTGGTGAGCATTTGCTGCAGCTAATGTAAGAAGATAATCATTCCTTGCGTGGGTAGCTTTGGAATTACACTCAGATCGCCGGGCTTTTAACTAAAATGTAATGGAAGAAAAAAGTAAGTGTAGATTAACACTGCACTGCAAAACATATGAGGATACTACTCTTAGTTGGTAATTACTCTCCAACAAGAATAAAGGTAACCTTGCAGAGAAACATTTACCTGCATATAAAAATTACACTAGTGGGCCTCCCCGGTGGCGCAGCGGTTGAGCGCTGGGTTGCGAAGCTGCCCGCGCCCTCTGCGACGCAGGTTCGATCCCCGGCTGCTCCCCGGCCACCAGAGGAGGGTCCCACATGGCGCGCAGACCTCTCCTGCCACCCGCTGCTCCCCTCAGCAGTGTACTTCGGTCCTTCTGCCTGCTCTGCTCCCCGCTCTGCCTCTGGTGAATTCTCTCACCCTCCCGCGCTTCTGACTGTACCCAGTGCATGTATAAACAAACAAACAAACAAATAAATAAATAAATAAAACATGCCTCTTAAAAAAAAAAAAAAAAATTACACTAGTGAGGGCCTCCCTGGTGGTGCAAGGGGTTAAGACGCAACCTATGAAGCTAGCTACAGCCATTGCGGCACCAGTTTGATCCCTGGCCAGCCAGGGAGCTACCCACATGGTGCAGCAGACCTCCTGACTCGCCCACTGCTCCCTTCAGCAGTGTACATCAGTCAATCTGCCTGTTCTGTTCCCTACCCTGTCTCTGGTGAATCCTCTCACCCCCCACACCTCTGGCCTATACCCCAGTTCTTGTATGCATAAATAAATAAAATCTTTTTTAAAAAATTACACTATTGAGGAATTAAATAAACAGTAACCAGAACTGTTACACATGACAATAGTGTTTTTAAGTATTTGTTACTTACATTTAAGCTATTTATTAAGAATTTTGCTCACTTAATTCAGATGGGAAAATTAAGTGCTTTTATCTTCAAAAAACATAAGTCTTTTGGAGTTAGAAAATAGTTCTGAAAAAAACCAACATTCCTAATGTGTTCAAGAACTTTAGGTTGCTAGCTAGGAACCTGGTAGCCATGGGCAATCACTCAGCTTATTCATCAGATATTCTACAGCTCGAGAGTCTCACAGTAAAAAAGTGACTTGAATCTGACCCAGGATATCTGTTCAGAGGTCTAAATCTGAGTAAAATGGAATTTATAGCGCTTTCAAAAACTTATGCACTAAGTCTCTTGGCTGACAGTTATAGACAATAGACTAATTAAGCTGGAAAATACAGAAATCTATCTCTGAAGCACTCTTGAGAAGCAAGTGGTGCCCAAAGTACCACACCTGGGTGAAAAGTCCCCATGAATGGGGAGGGAGAGTTCTTCTCTGAGTTAATGACTTTCAAGTGCTTCTTGAAATAAAGTGGAAATGACTGACCTCTATTCTCAAAAGACCCAACTCTTTTTTTTTTTTTTTAAGTTATTTCAGGTATGAAATAATTTTCATAAACTCACCTTTACACTTGCCTTCTGTAAACTGATTCTTGATTGGAAAAGACTAAGTTTAGATCTATAATAAAAATAGAAAAGTAAGTTTAATAATAAAATGACCACATTACAATAAAAGGACCAAATATTATAATTACTATTTTTTTAAAGTGACCACTTACCACAACACTATGTTAAAAGAGAACTGAAAAGTGGAAAATCAAAAGCAATGATTTTTCTTTATTTTACTACAGGAAGAATTTAATATTACGGTGAAAGAGAAAATTAGGGTCTATAAATTTTAAAAATATCATGAATGGCAAAAACACAATTTGACAAATCCAGTAAATAACTGGTATTGCCTAAAAACAAGAGTCATTAAATTATAGGTTATTCCCAGTATCAAACAATTTTATACACTTTAGTTCCTGCAAGAAAGGTTAGAGAAGTCCAGGATAACCAACATAAGCAGGCTTTCAGGGTCACGTGTAACACCAGTAAAGCATTCCATAATATGATATTGACCATGTCCAAGAAAGCCCTTAATTCCATTATTTCTTCAATTGAGAGTTCTTGTGCCTGCCTGTGTGCCCCCTCCACTCCGAATACAGTGAGAAAGTGCTTGGACTCTGTTCTTTGATTTTGCTCTATCTAATCTTCTCCCATTCTGGTATCCTTCTTTTCCTTAAAAACTTTCATTTTGGGCAAGGAACCATGTTCTCACTATCAGTAGTAAAAATAATTGGTTTTTACTCAAACGACTTGAGATAACCATAAGGAGGAAATCAACAGACAAATGCTAGGGAACAACCAATACTCTCACAACAGGGGATTGTTGAGGCTGCAATGTTTGTCTTGACTGCAGAGTCATGGTGATTGCCATGGGAGAATTCAATGCATGTGCTGGCAGCTATGCTGTAATATGAGGTAAAGCTGCAGACCACTTGGGATTGGAAGACTGAGCAGCGATTCTCTGTAGAACAAATGTGAAGAGGATAGCCTCTCCTGAATGAGAGAAACATTCAAGGGATATGCACATAAGTATCCCAACTACTTGCCTACTGTTAAAAAAAAAAAAAATTGAGTCTTAGATATCCCTGTTATCTTTAACCTTGCCCTAATATTTCATGGAGTTTTTGTTTTTATTAATCAGATTCAAAAAGGATGAACAACAATTTAATCTAGAAAAGAAGCAAAGGCCACAAACTTTAAAACTTGAGACTGTTCAGGGTTAAGAAAGGATATATTTGGGGCATTCCCACATTTTGTTTTTTCTGTAGTCATTTTCTAAATAGTCTGAGTTGCACTTGGATTTTCCAATCAAGCTTCTGGCTTTGGCTTCATTTCCTAATATTCATATATTTCTTGAGTGTTACTAAATTAGGTATTAATAATATTAAGAATGCAGTTCCCATTCTCAAAAATTATAATCAAGAACAGGATATATACAATTAATGAACTATATTGCACACTCCTATGCTTCTTTACTTCCAAATATTAATGTTCTGTAAGGTTCCAAACTTAACTTCTCATCTCATTTTATATATTTCATCCATACAATTATCATCTGATAGACAACTGACCCCCAAAGCAAGGTCTTCAGGCCCAAATTCTCATTTGAAAGTCAGATATTTAACTCTCTGCCAAGTATATTTGACACCCTAATGTCCAAAGGTTTTTCAAAATCTACATATTCAAAGTGGAATTCATCCTTCTTCCCTTCAAATGGCAACTTTCTCCATCCGATGCGCTCTGCTAATGGGCTCATCTCATCATTTATCAAATCACATATCAAAACACTCTGCACTTCAGTTTTTACTTCCCCTTATTTTCTTTTTCATTTCTACTGAGAAAACTCATATTTACTCTTTAAGAATGCCCAAATTTCATTTCTCCTATAAGATTTCCTTTTTCATTAGGCAAAATTAATCTATTTTCTATGCCTATACAACAGTATTTTCATACAACTACTGTAAATAAATTAGCTACCAGGTGAATGACTTTAGGATAATTTTTTGAGTCTACTCTGAATAAACAAATCATAAAGTTCCTTTTTAAACAGATCTGTCTCTAAGTCCAGGCTTTAAACTCCTTGAGGGCACAAAGCTTATCTTACTCATCTCTCTATTTTCAGTATCCAGTATAAATTATTCAATAAAGATTTACTGAGTGAATGAATATAAAGATCATTTTTTACTCTGTAGTTGAATTAGTTTTATTATTTTTTTTAATTTTAGTTATGCATATAAGAACTGGGGTCTAGGCCAGAAGTACAGGGGGGTGAGAGGATTCACCAGGGACAGAGCGGGGAGCAGAACAGGCGGATCTACTGAAATACACTGCTGAGGGGAACAATAGTGAGGCAGGAGAGGTCTGCTGCGCCATGTGCATTAGCTCCCTGACTGGGGATCAAACTCAAGCTGCACTGGTTGGCAATAGCTTGATAGCACTGAGACTTTAACCCCTGTGCCACCAGGGAGGTCCAGTAGTTGAATTAGTTTTCCAGAAAAGTTACACACTGAACTAAAATGTCTAATTTTCTGTACCCCCTTTGAATTTGGGACTTATGAGAATGGAATTCCTTCCGGTTAGCATCTATAAATTAGATCCTGTCAAAGTCATACCTCCCAGGAACATTTCCTTAACTTTCCTCACTGTCACCCTATGAGCCTTGGCTAAAGTAGGTATTTATACATGTTCTACAAATCTGTCAAATCTCTGTTCTACAATATCTGAGAGTTTTAGAAAACAAGTTCCTAAAAACTACCATGACAGGAACTTCCTAATGGTGATCACCTCATCTAAAAACTTCAGGTATTATTGGGAAGATCAGTTCACTGACTCTATGAAAGTATAGGCAACATTTGCATGCTCCCAAAAATAACAAAGAAAGCAAATTAGGAAAATATTAAATACATGCATTTCAGTAATGTTAGTACCTTAAGAGCATTCACTTACTGTAACTTGTTACTAAATAAACTTTCCAGGAACACCTGAATTTTCATAAAATGCTTGAGATGCTTAATTTCTTGTAGACAAAAAAAACATTACAAATATACATACCCATCCTTGCTAGTAGGTCTGTGTCAGCATTCAAATCCTCTCTGATTCTATGACTATGAATTTAGTCTCTAGATTCCACATCATTAAGCTACAGAATGAAGTCTTAGCTCCTCATCAACCTCTTCAGAGTTCCACTGTTTAACAGCAGTTTGCTTTTTTCTCAAAACCTTATCTCTCTTCAAGTTGTCATGCAAAATCTCTACTGCTTGCTTTATATTTCTTTCTAGTACCAACTGTTAGTTCCTTCTTTTCATAATTATTCTCAAAACATGGGATTTGCAATTCATATATTTGAAAGTGAAATTCCTAGTTGCTAAACCATACATAAAAAAGTATGTATATCATAATTTCACATAGTGAAAAAACTATGCCTAGGGCAGGAAGGATTTTTATACTGAGATTCATTGCTCTTTTTCACTTGATATGTCCATATTCCTTCAATGGCATGCTGAGAGAATTCTAACTTCAATTAATTTAGAGTCCAGTATAAGAAAAATGAAGCTCTTTAACCCTGATATTCAGAAACCATAGCACTTCATAATTCGACTTCTGCTAACCTCATATAATGTTCATTTGTCTTCTTTCCTTTTCAAAATTCAATTTCATTGAAAACTAACTGATCAAATATTTTCATTGGCTATCTCAATTTAAACAAAATCAGCCAATATAAAAGAAAAATTTATCTAAAGTACCTAACATTTACAGGTCAAATGAAGCCAATATATCTTAAGAATGAGTCTATGCACTGTATTAACAGAAAACAAAGTAGTGATTAGTGCTTTGGCACTTGGCATGTTAAGATAGCATATTTGTAGAGGTCGGAACCTATACCCCTAAAACATACAGTGTTATAGATCAAAATTACCTGAAAAAACATGAGAAAAAAGGAGAAAAAAGAAAACAAAGTACTGGCAAAGATAATATTTGCATAATCACTTTCAGAAATGCTAAAAGACATACTTTGCCTCGATGTCAGCTTTTTCTCGTATTGCATGAGCCATCTGTTCAGTCTCAAAGTACTTCTTTTTGCCTTTAGCTAAATCTTTCACTGTCTCTTGTAATTCAGTTTGAATCTTTGTCAACTGGTCCACACACTGTAAAATACAAAGTACAATTATTATGACTTTAATTTTCAAGCTTATAGAAAATGAACTTGTCCTAAGGACTATAAACCATGCCCTCAGGATGGAAACCCTAGGATAAGAATCAGCACTTTTAGTGTCCTTCAAATTGCAAATTAAGATCCCGGAAACAGCTGGTGCTCCCATATCAAGTAACATGTAGAATAATGTCAGTTTGCTTAAACAATTCTGTTTTGAGAAGTAACCTCTGAGTGCTGCCAATGACTAATATCAAGATAAGGCATACAAAGCAACAATGAAACCGCTCTAACTGTAGGAGATACAATGGCAATAAAGGCAAAAAAAAAAAAAAAAACACAAAGCAATTCTGTATCTCTTATTAATCTTATTAAAATCTCTCTACATGTTTAGGGAACCAACAACACAAAGGATACCGAAGGATTTAACAGTGGGAAAGGAGTGAAATCTGAGAACTGGATGACACCAATAGGAAGGAGAGATGCAAGACACTTAGGTACCACTAACAATTATTACGCAAAACAATCCCCAAGCAGACTCTTTCATGCACATGTGCATTCTAGGAGAAAGGATAGAAATAACTCAAAAATATTCTATCAATAAACTCTTAGAACACTTTGGAGCCAAAGTCATGCTACTTTGGAACCCTTGTGGCTATCCAAAGGGGAATCATTTTCCCAGTTTGAAACATACCACTGAGAAGTTTCACTAGCCTGAGGTCCGTGCAGGACAGCCTTACTGAAAAACTTCTGAGACTAAATAACACTATCAGTGTTTGATGGAGACTGATAAAAGCTCAGCAAAGCAAAGGAGATACTCGTGAACATTGTGGAATGGCACTAGGTCATCAGAAGAACAAGGATAAAACATGAAAAAAGTTAGATAAGTGACATAGAGGCTAGAAATTGTTAAGTATTAAAAAAGAGACTACAGGAAGTGAGAGATCTGGAAGGTTTCCTTTGAAATTAAACACAATAGGTCAAAGGTTTTCCCTGGGATTGCAAACTATGTGGATAGTCAGGACACCCACTGGAACCTATATATAAATACATATATGGCTCTCACATATACACACAGCCACTCACTCCTTACAGCCTCACAATTGGAAGAATAAGCTCTCTCCTCAGTCCCAGGTAACCTGCCATCTTATGGAGATTATGACTCATTTTCATCTATAAAAGGCTATTAATTAAATTTCTATATGTGTCACAATATCAAAGTAGATTTTGTTATAGCTCATATCTTTAAAAGGATTTTTCAAAAATATCATCAGAATACTGTGTTGACAAATGCCCAAAAATAGATAACTGGATCAAGAAGATGTGGTACATATATACCATGGAATATTACTCAGCATTCAAAAAAGATAAGCACATGCAATTTGCAGCAACATGGATGGCGCTGGAAGGGATCATGCTCAGCGAAATAAGCCAAAAAGAAAAAGAAAAATATTGGATGGTCTCACTCATAGCAGGAATCTAGAAAACCTAAATAAGGGACCAGGAAAAAGAACAACTATAAAAAAGAAAAAATCAAAATCAACAAACAACTATGAACCAGAGACACAATATGGGGGGGGGGGGAGGAGGGGTTGGGGTCAAGATAAGGGGGTTGCAATTGTATGGGGAATATAAAAATAAAATTAAAAAAAATTAAATTAAATCTAAAAAAGTAAAAAAAAAAAGAATACTGTGGTTGATTCTATTCATACTTGCTTTATTCTCTTTATATAAGTTTCTAAGATACTGCTTATCAAACAATATTGGAGATAGCCTGTGCACACACTAAATAGCTCCCATAAGCCTTTCTTCTTCAGAATTCAGTAAATTCACAGCCAAATGTTTTCCATAACCCAAGTGAACTGTTTCAAGTCAGAGTAATTTGATTTCTTTTTCAAAGGTACATGCTCTGGCACATAGCAAAATACCAAAAACATTTATTAAATAAAAGTCATGAAACTTAATTTGTAAAGGAAAAAAATGACCTGAAATCCCCTTTCCAACTATAAATTTCTACTATAGAAATCCAGTTTTCTGGGATGGCCTGAGTTACACATTTAAAAGGAAGCTTAAAAATGCCTACGTTACAAAAAACTTTGGTTTGATATGCCCAGTTCTTTCCCAAAAGTTATTAGCAATAAGCAGGCACCAAAATATGTTAAGTTTACACTAAGATTAAGAGATCATTAAAAGTGATGACAAACTTGGATATTATAAGATTCTGTTGAAGAAATCAAAAATATGATCCTTAGAGTTGACACAGGTGTTAGGATAAACAGACTTGTTAATAGCTTGAAGACAGGAATAAAAATAAAAAGTAAGTTGGGTCATTATACTTAAATTACTACAAACTAGTAGGTTCTCTGACCTAGTAGTCAAGTCCCGGAAATTATCCTAAGAAAATAACTTCAAAGAAAAAACTTTTACTGCAGACTTAAACAGACATGTTATTAAGTAAAGCATTCAACTTTACTTAATAATTCATTCAAGAATTAAAAATAATGAACATAAAGGTTATAGAGAATCATAAACAATTAATTAGGAAGTGGGGAGAATGGGGGAAATGAGGATATCCTAAAACAAATTAGCCACGTATTAAAACTATTTTAAAAACTAAGAAGATAAAAGGAGTAAGGGAATTAAGTCATCTACTAAAATAAAAGAGTTCTGCTAAGGTGAAAGAGGAAGTAGTTTACCAAGGTGAACAGGTTTAAATATTAAACTTCAAGTGTTTTTTTAAAAAATTGCACAGGATTTGGAATTAGGAAGTAGTATATTCAAGTTCCTGCTCTATTATTTACTGCTTATTTAAATCTGTATTTACTACTTATTTAAATATCTTTTGAGGCTGTCTCATTATTTGTAAAATAATAATACTTTCATACCTAATAGATTGTTATAAAAATCAAATCAGACTATACCAGATACGGTAGCAGTTTACAAATCAAAACCACGAGCTGTTAGGATTATTATCAAAAAAGCAAAAGACCTTAAACTACACAGAAAAATAAACTTAAAATAGATTAAACATTTGCATTTAAGATCTGAAACTAGAGGGCCTCTCCTGGTGGCGCAGTGGTTGAGCACTGGGCTGCGAAGCTGCCCCAAGGCCTCCGCAGCGCCGGTTCGATCACCAGACACCGGTAAGGGTCCCACATGGCGCACAGACCTCTCGTGCTGCGCCCACTGCTCCTCTCTCAGCAGTGTATTTCATTAGTCTGCCTGTTCTGTTCCCCTCTCTGGCTCTGGTGAATTCTCTCACCCTCCAGGGCTTCTGACCGTACCCAGTGCTTGTATAAATAAATAAATAAATCTTAAAAAAAAAAAATCTGAAACTATAAACCAGCTTATAGGGAAAAAAAACCAGGTAGTAATCTTCTTGACATTTGACTCTAAAAGCAAAGGCAACACAAGCAAAAATAAACAAGTGGGACTACATCAAACTAAAAGGCTTCTGCTTAACAAAGGACATCATCAAAAAATAAAAATGTAATTACCATTTGGGAGAAAATATTTGCAATTTTTTTTGATACAGAGTTATATTCAAAATATATAAAGAGGGCCTCCCCGGTGGTGCAGCGGTTGAGCGCTGGGTTGCGAAGCTGCCCGCTGCCTCTGCGGCGCCAGTTCGATCCCTGGCTACTCCCCGGCCACCGGAGGAGGGTCCCGCATGTGCGCAGGCCTCTCCTGCCTCCCGCTGCTCCCCTCGGCAGTATACTTCGGTCCTTCTGCCTGCTCTGCTCCCCGCTCTGGCTCTGGTGAATTCTCTCACCCTCCCGCGCTTCTGACTGTACCCAGTGCATGTATAAACAAAAACAAACAAATTTAAAAAAAAAATGCCTCTAGAAAAACAAAGCCCCCAAAATTAACATGGGCAAACTGAATAGACACTTTCCAAAGAAGACAGACAGAGGGACGACAGGTACATGAAAAGATGCTCAACATCATCACTAATCATCAGGGAAATGCACATCAAAACCACAGTATTTCAAGCCCATTAGAATCTGTATTATCAAAAAGGTAAGAAACTGCAGATGTTGGAGAGGATATGAAGAAAAAGAACACTTGTGTACTGTTGTGGGAATGTAAACTGGTACCGTCACTATGGAAAAGCAGTATGGAGATTCCTCAAAAAATTAAAACTAGAGGGCCTCCCCTGGTGGCGCAGCAGTTGAGCGCTGGACTGCGAAGCTGTTCGCAGCTTCTGCAGTGCCAGTTTGATTCCCACCCTGGAGTGGGTCCCACATGGCATGCAGACCTCTCCTGCCACCCGCCGCTCCCCTCAGCAGTGTACTTCGTTAGTCTGCTTGCTCTGCTCCCCGCTCTGGCTCTGGTGAATTCTCTCACCCTCCTGCGCTTCTGACTGTACCCAGTGCTTGCATAAATAAATAATCTTTAAAATAAAAAAAATAAAAAGAAATAAAAAAAAAATTAAAGCTAGAACTACCATGTGATCCAGCAATTCCAGTTCTAGGGATTGATCTTAAGGAAATGAAAATACTGATTTGAAAAGATGTGTACTCCTGTGTTCACTGCAGCATTATTTACAATAGCTAAGAAATCCACTTAAGTATCTGCCTATAGATGAATGGATAAAGACAATGTGGTATAGATATACAATGGGACATTATTTAGGCATAAAAAAGAATGAAATCTTGCCGTTTGTGACAATATGGATAGCTCTTGAAGGCAGTATGCTAAATGCAGTAAGTCAGACAAAGAAAGACAAAAACTGTATGATCACACTTACATGTGGAATCTCAATTAAAAAAACAAACTGAGAGATACAGAAAACAGATTGGTGGTTGCCAGAGGCAGGGGTGGAGGTGGTAGATGAAATAATGAACGCATTGGCTATTTAAGTTATTTCCTCCCAATTAGGAAGCTAAACTAATAATAATTCCCCATTCCTAACTCCTACCCTTTCTCAGCATACACAAAGGTATATACATACACACACAGAAAATATATTTTCTTCCAATGTAGAAAGCATTGTCTGGTCAGTCAGTGGTCTTATAAAAGGCAGTTTTGAGCAAAGGTAAGACAAATTCTCACACAAATGTTAAAACCAACTGGCAATATATGAGTGCTTGAAAAAGATTAAAATTTTACAAACACACAATATACATTTAACATACTGACTTCATACTACCGAAATTATCTTTGGCAAACAAGGAAGGCTGTTTTTTATTTTTCCAGTTTTTGTTGGTAAGATGGTTCCTAAAACTCAAATGACAGTAAGAATCAAAACACTAGATGGCTTCTGAAAAATAATTTCCTTAAATAATTACTTTAATACTCTCTACAACACTATTATGTCTATAAAACATATTTAGCTACTTATGAGGTATTCTAAGAATCTCTATTTTTGTAACTCTATTCCAAAAGGACACAATTTAATCAATTAATTTTCATAGCAAGTTTTTCATAAAAATCACATTTAATAGTGATTTTTCTATCAATTTTAAATTCCTATATAATGAAAGAAGTAGATCTATTTGAAAATTTCTAGATTTAAGCAGCCTCTATAATTAAACTTTAGAGGTACTGTTTTGGTAATAATTTGCTCAAAATGTATCAATGTTCTTTAAATTATTATGCAAAATACTCAAGCTGAAATGAAGATGAACTTTCAAGACTTAGTGAGATGAACAACTTTGTAACTATTTCAATATACATAAAACTCTAATAATACTGTGAAACCAAATAGCTCCAATTACTTGAGTTAAGCCGAAAGTAATGTAAGAAGTATTTACTAAGCTTTCACAAGGTCTACAGATTCAAATTACACTCACCTTTGTCAATTAAAAAAACTACATAGAAGGAACATGTTGAAATCAGAAACACTGGTTACCACACAAAAAAGCTGAAATTGTTAAAAGCAATTTAACACAAGTGTGCAGATGTTAAGTGCTGTACTGAGATATTAAAATGTACATAAGAAAAGAACAAATATAAACAATACCCTTTTAAGTTGCTGTTCTTTTAAGCTTCGCACTGTCCTTGCAGGCTCAGAAATAAAATTTTTATAGTTTTCACACATATTGATCCGGGACTGGGCAACTTGCATTGTTCCCTCGAGAAAAGATTTCCAAACAGGATACATGCTCCTAAGTTCAAGAAGAGACAGCAAAGCATTAGGCTGGGAAAAGGCAGAAAGAGGTTAAGCTTTTGCTCACTGGCTAGTCCTGACATATAAAATGAACGCTTTTTTCCCAGTTGTGAGTGTATTTATATGTAGAAACACTGCATATACTCTGTTCCTCCACTATAGTTTAGCAATGAACTGTTTTGATTCATTAGTTATTCTTGACAGTGGAATAAAGTGATATAAGCATTACAATTCTATACAAAGCTAAAACTATAAAAATTACTGAGCAATTCACACTATCCAGGCTTCTCACTGTCTCAGGTCATCATTATGAATATGAAATTTTGTTATTTCATTAAAGTAACTTCCTAATTTTACATAAGAGAAAACCAAAGTTTTGAGAGATTCAGACAATCATTCTAGATCATACAAGACTGTAGCAGAAAAAACCATTATGAATTGTGATGGGAAGGGAGGGAGAAGGGACAGAAAAGGGAAAAAAGAGGAAGGGGGAAGGAGGAAGAACACAGCAATACTGAGACAGGTTTAGGCTGGGTATCTCCAAAGTATATTCTCCTTCCAGCTACTATTATATTACTCTCATAAATTGATGGGGCTGGAAAATAATATCATGAATAATTGTTTATGTACTTGGCAAATCTAACTTGTCTGACAAAAGAAATCTATGCTAAGATTGCTCTACAGCTGTTTTTCTGCTGTAATAATGCTTAGGCAGCATCACATTGTGACTTGGAATCATTCCAAGCAAGTCCCATCACTTTTGCCTTGTGCTCAGCAATCTCTTGGTAAAGTCAAGGAATTATTCATCCTTTGCTTTCTATAGCCAACTTCCTTTCCAAACCTTCTTGTCTACTTTGCTAAATGCTTTTTAGTCGGTTCAAGTATGCTCCTACACTAGTTATACACATATTTTATAACTTATCATAACAGTGGGTAGCACTTTGTTTTAAGAAATAAGATCCTTGCACTAGTAGATTACAATATTCATCTCCTGAGATTTCCATTCTGCTGTCACTTGGGTTTTTGGTACAGCAATGTGTGAGACCATGTGCTACATAAAATGCTAACCGTGGGTCAATGAAGACAAGTGAAAACAAGGAAAAATATGTACGAGTCCCTATCTATCTTACTAGAACAACAAAAATAACCCAAAAACTATTTTTCTACCAAGAAAATGATTAGTTTATGCAATGGATTAGTTTGTGTAATATATCAAATGAAACAATTTAGATGGAAATAATCATTTATTTAATCAGAAGTATATCATCTTCCCTTTGGAAAAAAAGATTCAGTGTGTTGTGCCTGCAAAAACTTTCAGCACAAAAGCACTAATGGACTAAATAAAGGACAGCAAGTTAATGTACTCTATTCTTACTGCACAATCGACAATCGATGGAACCTGGGATGTAAGCTTACCACAGTCCTCCTAAGCAGGACAAACAATTGTTTTTCTCAGAGAATGCACTGAGACAAAAATTTGATACTGTTTTGTAACTATTGATTTATACATAACATATATTTTAGAACATAATGAGAAAAAAACATTATGAACTGTGATGGGTAGAAGAGGGGAAGGAGGTGGAGGGGGAAGGAAAAGAATGGAAGGGAAAGAAAGGAGAAGAAGGAAGGAAAGAAAAATAATTCCTGCCTTAGGTAGCAAGCATCTGTCTTCCCTTTAATCCACTCACCACGTGACTACTGTTCATCCTTCAAATCTCAATTTAACTTCTTTAGGAAATATTTACCAATTACACTAAGTCAATCCACAGAATTAATCAAGTCCTTCTCTGTCATTTGTCTACATGGCTCTAGCATGGTTCCCTCAATCCTAAGTATGTTATGTAACTATTTAGTTATTGTCTGTCCCTCTCACTATAGTGACAATTTCATGAAGGATGTGAATTGTGTCTTTCACACTACCGTATTCCTGGGGCCTAGCACATGGTCTACTATCTAAAAAGGTTATGGTGAATACAGAACAAAGAATGGGCGGATGAATGTATAAACTGTGAGAACTGTACAAACAGAAAAATCCTGTCATTATAGCGTTTGAGAAAATCTTTAGTGATTAACAGAACTATAGCTGGCAAACACTCCCTCAACAACAATATACCATGAAAGCATGGAATTTAGTTACCCAGTCAGAAGACCTGGGTTCAAGTTCTAGTTTAACCAATATCATCATATGTAGCACATCCCATATTTTCATTTCCTCAACCAGCAAATGAAGAAGTAAAAAAACCCAAATACCTGTATGGTCTACCTTAGAGGACTGTACTAACAATTAAATGCAAATGATGTGAAAACTATTGGCACACAGATTCTTTGGAACGCTACAACTAGTTGTAGTAGGGTAAGTCTTATAATATGGTAGTTCCAATAGCAGTGGTGTTTTTCATTCTGATTGAGGAAAAAATGATAATGGGTTATACAATGATTTTTAATTTTTCTTTGTTTTACTAGGTTTCATATGAGGTAATTTGAAACACAAAGAAAGGCATCTATTATTTCTAGCTAGCATGCCCTCTTCTAAGCTATCAGTCAATCCTGCACTGTGAAGAACTATATGGGTTTCTTGAACATACTTCAGTTTCCTAGTCCCATCAAGAACTTATCTGAGGATGCTGGTCTTCACTGACATTACAATATTTTGCAGACAAGGAAATGAGGCTCAAGGATATAAAAGAAAGAAAAGGGATTCTTTTAAGAGCCCATTACATGATAGACACTAAGTTGTGTATTTTATATTTGACATATCACTTAATGCTCATGACAACTTCATAAAATAGGTATTACCCCCACTTGCAGAGGAGAAAAGTGAGGCTCAAAGGGGTTATGATTTTTATCTAAGATTACTGATCAGGAACTATAGTTCCCTTGGTCACAACCCAAACTCCTATCATTACCAACAATTACCTTTCTGCTCAAAACCCAATTTAATCATCCTAATCTCTGACCAACATCTCCTATTTCCACTCCTTTATAGTTCTGACTCAATTATTTAACCCTAATAGAATCCACAATCCTTTTGACACTACCCTCTTCCTACTGTCTCTCAGTCCTCTCACAGTCTCCATTCCTAGCTCCTTACCCAACCTAGGTCTCCTAGTTCATCACTATAATTACTCCCTTATGAGTATCTTTGCTATGCGTGCCTGCTTCTCTTTCCATCATTATAAACTACACATTCCAACCCAGGTTAAATTCAAATAGAAAACCATAACCATAACCCTGGTCTCACTTTAAGCTGATGTCAAATAACTTCTAGTAACCAGTTAGAGCTAAGAGCTACCAGGCAGTCCTATTATATCCCCATAATCCACTTATTTTCTCACTCCTCTAACTAATCACACCTCATATTTTCCTCTTATCTCAATCTCTATTATGACCACACTTTCAGTAGACAGTGACAATCTCTTCCTTGATCAGGCTGATTTTCTCATGCCAACAATACTGATCATACCATTCTCACTTCCAGGTTTTGCTCTACTTGTCTGTTATGCCCAGGATTTCATCTCTTCTCTCATTTCCCCTCAGCTGAACATTGTGGATAATGGAAAGCCCACAAGAAAATCTATTTTTATTCATTTTCCTATTTTGCTCTATTATTCTATAATAACAATCATACTGGTCTATTATTTCTAGCTATCATGCCCTCTTCTAAGCTATCAGTCAGTCCTGCACTGTGAAGAACTATTAGGGTTTCTTGTACATCCTTCAGTTTCCTAGTTCCATCAAGAACTTATCTGATGATGCTGGTCTTCACTGACAATCCAGCAACTTCATTTCATATTCAGACTCAGAACTGTACTCTAAAACACTAAGTTTTAACCTCCCAGGATTCTGCATTATTTCATGGATGTTAGCCTTAACTCCAATGAGACTATCTGCTGTCTGATCTTGGCTATCTGATCTTTGATTTCAGGCACTAAGGACTAATCCTGAGCAAAAAAGCCAATAATACTTTCAAGTTAATTTCAAAAATGATATCAAATTCTAAGCAAAATTACAGATGGTTTAAAGATATTTGCAGGTCACCTAGGACACAATTTATATTCCGTTGCCATCTGTGTTCTTTAAATTATGCACACAAAATACTGAACAGCCAAATTCTAGATACATTTGTGTATGCACCTTTCACTAGACTCACACAATCCCCTGCTTCTAAACTTAGAATTTGTTACATTAGTAAGACTTAATGATCATGGTAGAACACTCACTACATCATTATTTTTACAATAATGTGCTTCATTTCTAGATCACAAAAGAAACATTGTTTTTTCCTTTGTTATCTACATCATTTAAATTCTATATGTGTGTATTAATTAGTTTAACACAGTATTAACTTGGTTTAGGACATATAAAATGATCTATTTCACACAGATTACACATGTGAAACATTAACATTTCTTGATAATTTTGAAATGATGGCAAAAACAACAGAGGGGGCCTCCCCGGTGGCGCAGCGGTTGAGCGCTGGGTTGCGAAGCTGCCCGCGGCCTCTGTGGCGCCAGTTCGATCCCTGGCTGCTCCCCAGCCACCGGAGGCGGGTCCCGCATGGCGCGCAGACCTCTCCTGCCGCCCGCTGCTCCCCTTGGCAGTGTATTTCGGTCCTTCTGCCTGCTCTGCTCCCCGCTCTGGCTCTGGTGAATTCTCTCACCCTCCCGCGCTTCTGACTGTACCCAGTGCATGTATAAACCAAAAAAAAAAAAAAAAAAAAGGAACTACTTATAAGTTACCTGTAATCATTTCGATCATCAACTTTTATTCCCGGCCAATCTCTCTTCAGATACTGACTAGCCAACTTCTGGATACCCTGTTTTAAAAAAAACATAGTTTATGAGTTAAGTATTGTGCAACCAAGTAAGGTCTTTCCCTTAAAATATATTACTTAACAAATCCATCTTTCCAAATGTAGATTTAATTCAGAAATAAAGATAAATGGCAGAACACTATGACCTTGTTACATTATTGTCATAGTCTTCTGTTTTCTCCATTTTTAGGGAAAGCGTGATACAAGGATGAGAAAAATGAAACTTAATTGCTTCTCACTTCAACAATTATTTGACCAATCATAACAATAAACTACCTCTGGTATATCACAAGGAACATAGCTATCAACCTCTAAAGCTCTGATTATACTTCTCAATATCTTAATTTCCCACCATTCCTCTGCTGTAGCATGAATTGCATTTCTAATTCCATCAGCCAAATTCTCATATACCAAGAAAGGCAACAACACATCTAATTTGGAGAAAACACATACACACTGGTTTATAAAATTAATGAACAAACTTTATATGAAATCCTATTTCATACAAGTAATTTTCAAGACAGACTTTAAGGGTCTTTCTTTTAAAATAATGACTGCCTAAATCACTTAAAGTGAAAAAGACAGTTTTATAAAGAAACCTGCCTACTTGGTATCCATACAACACGAATCTAGAAAAACCCTTATCTAGATCTATTACTTAAAATAGGTAATACTGGTGTCGGGATTTGAACAGAGAAGACTTTTATTGGGAAATGGTGTTAAACTAGTCATTCTGGCCATAGAACATAACTTTTAGATGAGCACATATGTGTTCTCCTAACACTACAATAGAACCCAATGTAATGGATTTAAATAGCATGAACCTTGGGATACTCATCTAAATACATGCTACCTTAAAAAGAATAAGCAGCTGAGCTGAAGAACAATCACATTTATAAATAGATTTTCTACTTTAAGCATGTTGCCTGAGTAAAATAAAAGCTGCATAGTATATATGGTACTTGTCTATGAAGATCTACTGTCAAATAAACTCATTATTATATGCTTTGTTTACCTTATTTGAATGAACAGAAAGGGTAGCAGAAACTGCAGAATTTCTTTGAATCTTAAGTTCTTACTGAGCTTGGCAATAGTATGGCTCTCTGTTTCCAGGCATTGTGTGTTCTGGGAACTCACATACAAAACTGCATATCCACAAGACTTCCCACTTACACACCTTGTACTTTGGGGGACCCAATCACTAAGTCTCTCCCCGAAAGTGCACAATATTTCTTCACTTCTGGCCCTAATTCTTAATGTTCCTATTTGCATGAAAATTGAGGAATTCCTGACTGTTGAATTCTCCCCTCCCTTAGATTGATATTCAGATCTCTGAATACAAAATATTTAAACATAGGTAGACAGACAGACAGATGAAAATGTGAAACGTTTTATTGCCAGGTATTTAATTTCATTTCATTAGAATAGGATGATTTATCCTTCTTTCTGCATATACTACTTGGAATTCTTTTACAAAAAGCAATCCCTCATAGCTAGAAGGGATCATGCTCAGCGAAATAAGTCAGAAAGAAAAAGAAAAAGAAAAATACCGGATGGTCTCACTCATAGCAGGAATTTAGAAAACCTAAATAAGAGACCAGGAAAAAGACTAATCAATACAAAGTAAAAATCAAAATCAACAAGTAACTATAAACCAGAGACACACTACCGGGGGAGGGGGGAGAAAGGAAGGATTAGAGTCAAAATAAGGGGGGGCAGGGAGGTGCAATTGTATGGGGAATATAACCAAAATGAAAATGCATACACTGTGCAAAGATGAAAAAAGATGTAAGAATTATATAAAATAAAATATTTAAATAAAATAAAGGGGAAAAATAAAGGGAAAAATAAATTTAAAAATTAAGGGGGAAAAATAAGTAAGTAAGTAAGTAAATAAATAAATAAATAAGGGGAGGGGGGGAAGCAATCCCTCATAAACTATTTGGTTATCCTAAGGAACAATTCTTAGACTTAAGACAAGATAAAAACTTGACTGTTCAGTTTTGGTGCAAAGATGAACAAAGAGTATTTTAAGTAACACTATGAACTCATACATTTTGAATAACAGATGTGTTCCAATTTATTGCAGTCACTATTCTTTTGATGCTCCAATTGCTACATCTGAGGTCAGTGGGGGGTTCTTCCAAGTTGGCTCTCATGTCAAGACCCGGATAGACTTTGACAGTTTCTTTGTTTTCTTTTACAGTTCCTATTCTAGATATGCAGTACACTAGTTTTCCAAGGAATTCTGATTCCTTTTTGAGAGAAACCATATTTTTAGAGACTACAATCTAAGTATTTTCTTATCCTTCAGGTCTTCAAGTCTTTCTCTAAGAGGCCTTTTCTATTCACTGTATACAAAGTAACTCATCCTCAACCCAGTTACTCTCTCACACCATCCTACTCATTTATAATGCTATTACACGGTCACTTAATATGGCTTAAATATTTGTCTATTTACTGACGATAAATTCCATCAGGTAAGGATCTTGACTGTGTTTTATTTTTTTCTTTAATAACTAAGTCTCCAGTCTATAGCAAAGAGTCAAGCATTTGGTTGTTGCCAACAATAGTCACTGATTATATGAATAAACACCACCTAATTATCTTAGTTCTAATGTATTATATCTAATCTCCTTTTGTGATTTTACCAGAAGCTAGAAATGTTTGGATCAAAATTTCTGTGGTTCTTTATTTGCATATGCTCAGAGGGAAAAAAAAAACTATCAGATTTTTAAGATTATGACCAGGTGGTTTTAATACAAGAATTAAGTTCTTCAGTAAAATTAGTCAAATTTGACTATCTACACTACTGGAGAAAATGCATCTGTGGATACTCTAAAGTAATGAAAAAAAAAAAGAGATGTTAATTTCATACTTAGAAGTCACAACACATTAATTTCTCCAAAGGTTAAATTATATCAAGAACCCTGAATTCAAAGAACTCATAATATACACATAGGAATAATAAGTATGCAACATAAAAGAGGAAGCAACATGTGGGTAGCTGCTAGACAAATGGTAATATGTGGTAAGTACCTAGATGAGGAAAAGACCATCCAATTTTTTAAAACAAATTTTTTTTAAAACATCCATATGATGAGTGACTTTTTCAGTTTGATCACTTGCTACAGTGGTTACCTATCATTTCCTATAGAACACAGAATATGATATGAGCCTCACATGAGTAGAATTAAGATGATAAAATAAGAGCATTCTACATGTACAAATAACAAATAAACTTTACAGGCACTTTCACAAATTTATTTCTCTTTATTGGGCATTGTTAAAGCCACAGAGAAATTGGACACAAAGAAGACATATAATTTACCTAAGACAACTAGATGACATACAACTAGTTAAGTCTGAATTAAAATCCCGTTATTTTTCTACATCTTTGCCCAAAAAAAAAGAACACCCCATCATTTTAGAGTGGATTTTGTCTAATTCTTTAAAAAATTCTTAAATCACTTTTACATATCTATTTTTGTGCATTATAAGTTACAATAGCAATCTCTGGAGCTCTAAACTACAAAGTTGAACTGTACTAAACTGAATGAGCCCTTCAGAGATGTGATGAGGGATTCATAAATAGACAAACAGATCTTTAGATGAAAGACTTTATTCAAGTTAGTTCACAGAGGCAGGAGTCATGACTTCTGTGTGCTCTATGCAGCTGTTCAAGAACTAATCTGCATGGATGCTGAAGAAATACTCTGTGTTCATTATAGGGAAGGTCCTAAATAATGTTTCACGTCTCTGAAAGCATTCTATACTCAAATTAACTGGTTTCCCTTTTATTTTATGCTTAAATGTACATCCTATGAATAAAAGGATTATTTATACAGAAAATAAAACTGATTCCAATTAAGTGGCTAAGGAAAATAAACTTACTGCTGTCAATTTCTTTAAAGTTGTTTTTTTTTTTTTAATTACTCAACACTGGTATACTAGACATACAATACCTATTTATATTTACCTGAGTATCATTGATGTATAATGTTTTGACTTGATTTCCCACAGAGTTTATTCTGGAATAGTGGTTTCCATAAAAATGTACTATCAATATACTCTTTGGAACATCCAATAACGTCCCATTCCAAAACGCCATCAGTGTCTACTGTAAGACTTGCTTGTTTTACCTCTCAATAACACTTGCTATATTGATCTAACAGATGAAGTGACACAAAGGAAGCCACTGTTCAGTGGACACTGGGAAATGGACTGATGGCTTAACCTTTAGCCCATTTACCACAGCAAACTGAGCCAGAGTAAGCACCATGGCTCTGACACCGATTATTTTGTATCCATTTCCTCCTCCAATACACAGAGAAATTAATGTTTCAATTTTACTAAAGGTATATGCCATCAGATGGCTCTTCAAAATTATAGGAAACCATATTTTTATATACTATACCTTTCTGCCATGAAATTCAACATTATGTAAATTATGCAATAAGCAATAACAAGTCCACTGCAGAAGTTGGATACTTTTCAAACTGATGTAAATTATAAATGATTTACTATTCTTAAATTATTTCAATAGTAATTGAGAACTTCACCCCCATCCTAAAAGAAAATTTTGAAATATTTTCCATTGCTTTATTTGGTATAAAATTGTAGTTAAAATAGGGCCTCCCAGGTGGCACAGCAGTTGATCGCTGGGCTGCAAAGCTGCCCACAGCCTCTGCAGCGCTGGTTCGATTCCCCGGGAACCCGCAAGGGTCCCACATGGCGCGCAGACCCCTCCTGCCGTGCCCGCTGCTCTCCTCAGCAGTGTACTTCATCAGTCTGCCTGTTCTACTCCCGGCTCTGGCTCTGGTGAATTCTCTCACCCTCCCACACTTCTGACTGTACCCAGTGCTTGTATAAATAAATAAATCTAAAAAATAAAATAAAATAGTAGTTAAAATAAAAAAAATTAGTGCCTCCCTGGTGGCGCAAGTTGCAGCACTATGAAGTTCTCCGCAGCCACTGAAACACTAGTTTGATCCCCAGCCAGG